AATTTTAACATCAACAGCCATTCAGTAATCAGATTACGGTATTTAGTATTAGTTCATCCGGGCACTAACGAGCAATACACCCCATGTAAGAAGATTATCGTATTCAACTCTCACTAACTCCATCAAATTGCTTTTTCCGTTGCCAATATCTTTTCATTTATAATTATCKGTGAATTTATCTTTAATTAATAATAAGTGCTAATCTCAAGTCATTTTCTGCCAGCAAATTACTTTGGATTYGCATGGTCTGCCTTTGAAGTTTAGTACAACTGAAAACCAATTATTTACAATAATAGCTTCCTCTCAAAGTCTTAAGCTTTAGAAATATTACAAGAGTGAAAAGACGTTGCGAACAAGTCAGTTTCTATAGAATGGACACGAGTTAGCAAAATTGCTTTSCAAATCATGAACCAATCAAAACCTGTTTGGCTATCGATTCTTGTGCAGGTTTTAGGGATTTGTCGTCTTACTGAACTAATCTTATTGGAATCTGACAAAAAACYCTAACTTTGGGCTTCTTAATTTAAAGTCGGATTACTCGATACAGAAAAGGTAGCCAGGCTTTTGGCATTATTTATAAGGATTTAGAGATGAAACGCAGTGGAATTTGGAGTCAGTTTTCGMCAGACATATGGCTTAGCTTTCTTTATTCTCTTTTTCTGATACATTTCACACAAAAAATAATATGGATTTATCGGTTTTGTTGTTGTTGTTTTTTGTGMGCACTTTGAGTGAAATAAGTCATAAAAAGAAATCTATTAATAGCAAAGAAGGTGTTTGGCGATCCGGGCAGCGTCGATAATCAAACGAGAGTTTATCTTTGACATATTATACTCTGCACATTCCATGCGAGATGCTGTTTAGGTTATAATCTTTTTCTACTTTCTGATATGGTGAAGTGGGAATGAGATTAGGAAGTCTAGTTCAAAAGCTTAGGTTTTTGGCCTGTTAAGAWTTAATACGGAACAAGATGGACTGTCCATCAAATTCTAGGAAGATTAGTAGAAAGGTTGATATGAAAATAAAAAGGTCGACCGAACGTAAATAAAGGCAGAAGCGCAAGGACTTCCAATCTGGTTCATCGCGATTTGAATTCGTTGTCAGTACTCAGTCAAATGATAGTTCTTGAACATGCTGAAAAAATGGAGAACAATTCGAACTTGAGTAAATCGAAATACAACGATACAAGATAGAGGAAGACGAATCAAAATACGTTACAAAGCAAGAGGAAGACGAATCTTGAACTGAAACTCTTGCTTCCCGAGTTCAGCCTCGTTGCCTTGTTGCTTTGTTTGTTTGTGTACTTTGGACAGAAAGCATAAATCGTAAGCTGATTGTCCGTCAACTTGGAACAGTGTTTCCTCGTGGTCAGCTATGGAGGGCCTTATGGGTAAAATAACCTTCTTAGGTAAGTCACACTCAGTATTACAGTTCTGTTTTATTCAGGCTCGCAATCAGGCTCATGCTGCATGGTATATATATATATATATGCTTTTTTTTTAAAAGAAGAAAAAGTCAAGACAACATTTTTCCCGACAAGCCTGAAAAAAAAATGCTGGGAAAAATGCTGTCTTGACTTTTTCTTCTCAAACAAATACTCTGCTCTACTTCTATGGATGTATTGAGCACCGTTTTACAGAAAATTGATTCACAGATTTAGTCTTATATATATATATTTAAGATATATATGTAAAGCTATTATCTTGTTTGACATGCATCTGCATTAGTGAGTCCAATGTAACCACAAACACGTACTGTCACGAAGTATTAGTGGGTAGGTAGTAATGGCTTTGATGTTCTTTGATATATCATTTTTTGGCTTCGTAGGTGAAAGATTTCTAAGGTTATGACGTTAATAATATTGAAGCTTGTTTCCATTTTTTCACTCCTTTTTCCGCGCTGACTCGTAATTTCTCAAAAAGCGTTAGTTGTTGTAAATATATCTCATTTATGAATGTCGGATTTTGAAGTTTAAAGTTTATAAAAAAGTAAACATAGATTGTGAAGAGTTCAGCCGAAAAGCCCKGCCTCTGCATGTTTTGAGCAATATCCGTTCGAGGTCATAACTGTCCATATTCTTCTCGTCAGTCTCAGTCGTAAATGATAAKACAGGTGATCTTGATAGAACTGAACAGCAAGGGCGTGAAACTACTTAAATTATACTGTACACAAGCTATATATAGACAATCCTGTGTTGAAAATGGAGCAGTTAACAAAAATAAACAACTCGAAAACTTGCCCCACCCATATTTAATAAAAAAAGTCTGAATCCTTTAAATCTACCTGGTTGGTTTCAGCTGGCAAATATCCCTCCCTTTAAGAAATCTCGTAGCTTAGATTTATTTTACCTYAAGCACGGAAAACACTCTACAAATAATTACACGCACTCACTAAGCTTCAGACTGCGTGAGGAAAGAGACYAAGTAAGCTGTTTCAATGACTATTTCCCCGCCTACTCCTTAAGAACACTTTTCCTGATTTGATATTTGTTGTACACGGTCTATTGTCTCATTACYGTCGTTATGATTGCGTTATGATTCCATTAGCAGTCAACTGACAGTGTTTATGAACTGTGAGAGAGTTTGGTGTCATCACAAGTCTGGCTACCGGCCGGTCTTCCACTAAGCTTGATTGTATAAGGTACTCCTTGGATTGCACTGTTCAAATTACTGATGTTTCGCTCGAGATTTTAGTAATTCAAGATCTAATGAGATACATAAAAAAGAATGAAGAATGGAAAAAAAGAATCTAGCGCATTTTTCTTTTCCTGTGTAGRAGTAATCTTAACAAAAGAGGAAGATTATCGTTACGATCGTCTTTATCATTGATATCAAGACTAATGTATTTYTTAATAGATCCTTGTGCTACTCGGAACGCAGTCACGCCAATATTAGTTACCATCATCTATCAAAGGTCAATAGATTTATCTTCAATATATATAGTATATATAGAAAACTAAACTATATATATAGTATATCTCTTTAGTTCATCAGTAATTAAATATATACCAACAAAGCTATCAAGGATATCTGGGGGAGGGAGGGGGAATGTAGGCTTAATCCTATAACTTGTTATGTATAAACACCTAGATGGTCAAAGTTTTTGCCAGCTTGAAATACATATGTTAATATTAAGTTTTTTCTTGGTTCCCTCATTACGGAAATGTCACTGATACACTAGATCCAGTGAGTCAGTCCGCGTCTCGGTACGTGCAAATGGCAGACAGCAGGCATCAACTGGTTCGTCCTCTGCCCATCTTATCAAGCATGGTAATGTGTGATAGGGCAAGATAAAAACACTAATTCCCTAAGCCTAACCTATTACTGCGCGATTTAACTCTAATCCTTCCATGGAACTTGCCCTGGCTCTTTTAATAAGCTTACCTTGGCGGAAATCCAACTTAAAAAGGATCGAAAATGAACGTATTGGAGAGAGTTGACTAATCGGACTTGGGCTGTATAAGTAGCTAAGGATTGTTAAACATGTTCTGCTAGGACTGATCAGTTAGTGGAGCCTCAGCTGCCGTATTGACGAACCTTTTAGCTTTAGGATTAAAGAAACAAAAGACATTATTTAAAAGATTAGTGACATGGCAATATACAGCCACCCAGCCATTACCAGTGATATAAACATGCATTTATAATCAAAACCCTTTAGATTCAAAAGGCAGGCTATTTTGTTATCTTTACTTCGCGATATAAAAATCAATGAAAATGGAACTGTTTTTTTGATTTAAATTTTTTATTTAGTGGTTTTGAGTTAATTGGTTTTGTTGTGTTTTTAGGATAGTTTTAGACTTTTGTTAGTTGTTTGCTCATAATWTTTTGTTTTGCTTTGTTTCATTGTTTCTTTTTGTTCTTTTTGGCTTGTTTGTCTTTGAAGGAGCAAAAAAGAAAAAAAAAAGGTAAATAAATAAATAAACAATAACTAACTATGTATTATTAATATGCCATAACATACTTTATATTTTCGACAAAGGTCTGTCATATAATAGCGCTATTGTGTGGTTTGGTCTTCGACAACATGTAGTGATAAGCCAAGAAGCCTTCCATACTTAATGAACGCAAGTCAATTAGCARACTGACCAGACGGCACGATTACACGAAGATCTCTTTGTCTCGATGGAAATTGTAAAATAATATCCCGAGTACCTGTGTTTCTTGGACTTATTTAACGGAAAAACATGCATACGTATCACATTTTCTAGTCTTTTAAGCTTTTTAGTCTAAAAACTGCTGGGGTAGGACGAAGAGGATTATTAACCATATGATCAAGGTTTTATAATTTTTTTTATTCAAGTAAGGTGTTTTTTTTTTGTACTTGGTATAATGTTTAAATATATAAATTATTTGTCTTCAAGCTAATTTTCTCGGGGACATTTCGAGCTCCAGGCACGATTCGAACACGTGACCTCCAGTCTCGCGGTCAGGCGCTAATGTTTGCTTTGCATATTAGAGAGTTTTAGATTTACGTTCACGGCAAACGTGAAACGTCAGTTGACCAGTAAAAARTTCTTTTAAATGACTGAAAAAGAATCGCAAAAARKYCMARKWAKWRRAAAAMMAAARRAAAAAAAAGGTTTGTAAATAATAAAGTAAAATACAGGAAAACTATGAAAACGTGGTCACGTTTGCYGTTTGCGGGGAGAAAAAAAAGTCAATCTAAAACTCTCAAATGTTGCATTAACTTYCTTTTTTTCCAATTCCCGCCCCGACTCCTCCCCTCGATCGACCGCCTTTGCAATTTCATTGCCATCCACTCTTTAATTTACTTCTGCCGCCCCCTCTGTAGAATATAATTTAGTACTAACGATTTTGTGTTTAATTAATATACATRATATTGTATCAATATTTTAAACCTCCTAGGGGCATTATCAATCACAGCAGATGACACGGCCGTTGTCAAAGACTTCAAARAGCATCAAATTGCTCATCAATCTTGGTAACCATACTTTTATTTTCATTGMGGTTTTTTTGGGAGTATTGTGACTAAATTAGCCGTCTCGTTCAATCAAGAATTTAGAAAGCGTTAAAAAACGACTCATTTAGGCAGCAGAAATTTATGACCAAAATGGTGTTGAAGGGTCAATAAATCTCAATGTCATCTTGCTATTGTTCGATAGCCAGCGTTGTATATCAATACATTGAAGCTTACTTGTCATGGTATATGCAATATTGGCATTTATATTTATTGTTAATGATTAATTAGTTGATCTTCGCTACTCGTTTATCATGTTTATTGAGTTACCGTTTTGAGATGGCGCCTCATTGGCTGACATGGTCTGTGATCACCTTTCTTGGTGTAAARCTTGAACTTAAAAAATATATTGATGATTTGTCGAAAATGCACGTGTYGATTCATTCACAAGTGGTTTGCTAGGACCAGTTACAGAAAAAAATTCATTCATTCATTCATTTATTCCTTTATTTATTCATCTATTCACTGCATTTCATTTATAAACTTAGTCCTTAAATTATTGATTGATTAGGTTATTTATGCATTGCTATTTCAGTCTTTTTATCATTGAGTTAATTTTTTCCTCTAGTTTGCCTTTTTCATATTCCCCTCTTTTTCATTTCTATTAATTATCCGTGCGTCGATTTTCCCTCTTTATTGATGATCTTTATCATAGCTACGTTGCCCAAATATTCCTATTAATTATTTTTTTCATAGTCCTCTGAATTATTTYCCATCTAACTTATTGATCTGTGTCCACGTCGCAAGCGCAAAAAGTAGGCTTACAATGACCTATCAAGTGCTTGAGTTTCAGTTCTATAGCCCGAGGTTGAATTGTGATCAAGCGACAGAGACAGCTCCACATTTAAATTGAAAAATCATTATAATACTTTGATTTTTAAGAAWAAGATGCAATGCACTTTTTTAGCAAAACAAAAAATATAAGAAATAATATCATTCAAAGTCAAGTGAGAGCCATTAAAAAGAAAAATCGTTTTTGACAAATAATGACCGTGGAATTCTGACAGTTGAAAAGCTCAGTGCTCGATGATACAAAATTCACTGTCTTATTGGAGGAAGACTAAGATTAATTATAAATGTGCTTCTCTTAGCTTTTAGCAGCATAATAAAATCTTGATCTTGTTATTTTCTGTCTTTATTTTCTTTKCATTTTRATTTTTGCGYATTGTGCCGAGCTAAGCCTACAGGRAAAACCATGGCTAAGGTTGCTGTGATGTGAATGGTAAAACCAACAGCGTTGACTTTACTACTTTAATTCCAATCAGTAGATWATATAGCTGTAAATCTCGATTGTAGGTTTTAGTTGGTGAWTAAAACATCTGCCCTATCATGAGACGTATCGATAGCTTTGTTGTTCTGAAGTCACATTTTTAATTGATAAAGAAAGCAAAGATTTCAAACAAGCGAGGAAAACAAAAAGGTGTCGTTTGTTTACTACTGATACTAACAGTAAAATACAATCCCTAATCAAAAYATTTATATTTTTCTATTCTTAAGAAAAAAAAGCTTTCCAATTGTCTTACTTTCTTCTATTCCTAATTAATCTTGAAAAAGATTAATGATTATTATTCTCTAAAAGCAGCAGTAGCGGTCTATTACTAGCTTTGTGTCAGGACATCACCTGATCAGAGTTGAATCCTGACGTCTTCAAGAGGTTTGGAGCCGTTACATTGAATAATAGTGAACCGGAAGAATACCTACTCTCAGTTCTATAGTTATGGTCATTCATCTTAATTTTGACAGCAAGGTTGGGTTTTTTTATTGATAGCCGGTGTAAATAAACTTCGAAACCATACGAAAAAAAACTTTTCTTCGCTGTTGTGGGACAAATGAAAGTTCTAGGTTTCAATGCGAAGCGAAATGAAAGGTCGCGGGCTGTTGGTTTGAGCTTTGTTAAGCAAAAGGCCAAAAGTTAGCCAGACGTGAATCATTGTGTCTTCAAGAGGGATTTATAAGGATTGTCATGAAAGTGGCTTAACCACTATATAAAACCTTGACAGCTTCGCACAGCACATCAACATAATTCGTAAATCCTGTGCCTGATCAGCAGTGATAGTCACGCCAAGTAATGCTTAAGAATAAGACCCAGTGTAATGTGTCCTCAATCAGATGCCACCATGGCTGACACAGAAAAAGCACGGAGTGTTCTTGCATTCATAGGTACGTACACGATTAATATACATGTGCTCTATTCATGTGCTAGATCTTAAGAGACGAACTGCTTTCCTGTTGTCTCAAACTTTGCGATACGTTATTCCAACTTGACTTTTTTTTTGCCGTAATCCTGTTGGAACTGACCCAAGTATCCTTGATTTGCCAACGGTGTCTAAGACCCACTGTCAATATGTTTTTTTCCCCTTGTGTTTCTATAGCATTGTTGAGGCGAAACGAAATGTAGCGGTTCATATGAACTCGTGTTCCGACAAGACAGGRGAAGCGCGAAGACTGGGAACTCGTGAAAGAGTTGCAATCGTGGCCCCAGGCCTTTGGAGAAACGATAAACCTCGATTAAATTGCAGTTTACGGACATTATCTAGTAAAACAGTGATAATTCATTTGGCTATTGGATCAAATAAAGCGCCACGAAAATGTTTGCGAGATGCGTCTGCGATWACTGTTATGCAACGAACGTCAGCCGACTGTGGAAACGGCCGGACTCTACATGATTCCGAATTGTGTTTGAAAACAAAATCCATATACAGTTCGCTTTCATAGGCTATAGAGTACGCTTTGACTATATCTAGCCCAGGTTCTTTCGCTCATTCTTCAAATTAGATGATTTGGGGTTCTCTTTCGCTTTCTGGGTCTGATATCGTCACTGTTTTGAAATACGAACAGAACACATGCTTCCGTCGAATGAATTAAATGAGTTGATATATATAATTTATAACGAACGCATAGAGACAAGTAGTCGATAGCAAAAAGAAAGAAAGAAAAGGAGGGAGTAAAAAAAGGAGATTAAACTTCAAATTGAATTCATTTCCTTGGCAATCCGTGTCAACGCAATTCACAGCCGACRAACGCTTAGCTTTCCATATCTACTCCCACTAGTGTCGCATAATGTATTCGAACCCCGCAAATCAATCTTCAAATCTTCACCAATATAGATTAAGCCAGAGATTTATAGAACGCATTTGACATATATATTGGCATTTATATTTTATTTTCATACATATATTCGGGACAATTTATTTCAATTCGTTATTATAATTTTTAAATATTCTGAAAGTGCTGCATTGTAAAAGTCATATTTGATTGATTATCGCCTCTTTATGATTGTTTTGAAAGCACTCTGTCTTAATTATTGAAATGAATCTTTTACGACTATTTGAAATGCCTAAAATATCGCTTTTTCCCGGACTGTGAATATGTTTTTCTCGCATTTCTTTTCATTTCCCATTTTGTTTAACGAGGAAAAAGGCATCACAAAGC